CCAGACATCGTCGAAGCATCTGCACAAGAAGCCGACATGTCAACCTGAGACCGAGCACTTCGGTCCAATCAATCGATGGGAAAATCTAAAATTCAGTTTAATTCGCTATGAGTGAAATAAAAATAATGTAACAGGTGGCAAGCAGAAAGTCAAATGGAAACGGAGACAGTAAGAAAATTTATATGAACACTTTTCGGCCCATCAATCTTGTGTAGTAAGGAATCACAGATTCCGCTAAGACTACAAGCATACGCGTGGATAGCGCCTCCAATAAAGTTATTTTCTTTGCAGATTCAGCTTTCATTGAGATACAACTTTACGAAATACTTCGTTCGGTGAAATAAATTATTTCCCGATGGCCAAGAAACACTCGACACGGTAACACTACTAGTATTAGAACCTATTAGCTAAATTATAGTATTCATCTCCAAAAGTTACATATAACTGTGACTATTTTTCAATCTTGAAATGAAAGTGCTTCGAAAAGGGCACTAATTTAGTGTTTAGCTCAAACACTGATCATTATCGATTGCATCCTCATAAATATACTTTGCACTTCGTGGTTATCACTAATAGCTAAGTGTGATTACTAACTAGCTGTCTAGTCCTTTAATAAAAGACTTCATTAGATCACGGGACACCACAGAGTAGTAATAATTTTCTACCCTCCAAGTCATACTTCATTGAATTAAACACCAAAACATGTTAATTTCCACAATAATCGCCAAATTTTTATAATAAATGGAATATTTTCGTTCTGTTTTCAAAAGAGTGAAATAAGTGATAATATTTGATAGATGGTTGCTGGTAGCGGAATCCACTGCATGTGTTTCATTCGTCTTTATGAGCGGTCAGGCGGATGTATCTGTGTCACACTGAGAATGGAACGCAGAATGCATAATTTACAATGCTACAAAATTATCCAGTAGTCTAACGAGTCACAAAAGTCACCTGTTGCTCGGCGAGTATTTGAAACTTTGGACTTCCCACTGTTTTTAAGATTTGGCGGGATTGAAAAAACACACATAATAATGAGAAATTCAAAGTTTCAATTAGCGAAAAATAATTCATGATGATTAAAATCCCTCTCAATAAATCTGTTGCCATTCACTGTCGGTGCATCATGAGCTAAGATATCTGAGGATTACAGTTGGTATCATTTATTCCATGATAAACCTTAGGTGGAAGTTTTGTTAGTTTGTGTATGTGTATGTGCGTCGCCTACATACCTACAGTGCAGTAAACTATCATAGGCTTTAATTGAATTACAAGTGAAATCGGAAAAATTTGGAACCTAAAGGACTTAACTGACTAAGAAGAAGGCACTTTCTGATTCATAAGGGTGGTAAAGTGAGTAGACATCAACCCACTCAGAAATCCAGCTGTTGTTGAAATACAGAAACAAAATCCCAAAGGATTGAGATCAGTCTTTTTGTCTTCTAAATATTATCGAAATATCATCTTTTCCAGGTGACTTAGGAAGAAAGGTTTTTTATGAATGTATTCACCGTCCGTTCGTCCCAAGCAGTTTGAGTTTATACGTTTTCATTGTAGTTACCACAAGATTCAGTATACATTGCGTTGTCAAATCTGATAATGTACTGCAGTTAGCATTAGCAAAACATTCACACATTGGATAACACCAAAATTCCAGCAGGGTTCATTTAAAAGAAACTTATTCGCCTTAATCTCTTCCACCCTAATGATTTATCATACACTTCAACAAGAGTGCTTTAAAGTAGATTTCCGCTTCTGTTGGTTGGTACTTAAAGAAATCATTTTAACTTTGAGAGATAGTAGAATACAGGATATGTGTTTTCACCTATTAGGAACGGGTCAGCTTGATGTACTTATATCTCCAGTGAGTGTAGGCATTCCCAATAAGACTCGAACATGTTAGCCGAGAACGAGCATTCCGGTCAAGTAGAATAAATCATTCAAGTACTCATCAACAATCTTATTAAGCAATATAAAAATCCCTGTTGCATCGCGTAAGACAAAATGCTCTTAGTGAAGAGTTATTCTTTTCAGTGATATCATTCTCGAGCTGTACAGCTGTATACATATATATAAGTATGTTTCCTAATGATAACTCATTAGAATTGTAAATTTTGAGATGGCGGGTACGTAGTGCAGAAACCATTAATCGGATACCAACTAAAATAAAATGTAATAATTCAATTGCATGACATAGTGTAACTGACGTGTTTAGGTAGAACTCGAATAGAATAAAAAGACAGTCAAGTTAAGAATACTAATAATGAGTAGAAATGTAATGGTGAGGTGGGCGTGAGAGGAGAAAAATACCATCATTAAAAAACAAAAATTCAGGTATCCAGTGTAAAAATTAGATTAGGTCTATTGTAGGTTCAGTAACTCAACAAACATCTTCTGTCCTTTGAAGAAGTTTAATTCGCACTCCTTTGGTAAGATTTCTGCGTATTTCATTTAGTAACCAACAATCGCCAGTAGCCTGGCGGGTACTGACTACGCGTTTGAAGGGATGTGTTCTTTGTCTGAGTTCCAGTGGGAACAACATTACTCACTGAGATGTAAATACAACCAGTTGACCGGCTGGAGATACTATGAAACTCGTGTCGTGGTTCCGATTGCTAGCCACCACCAACCGAATAACATCCAAGTAGCCTCAATACATAAACTTAGTCTACCAGCTAGCTGTTGAATACCGAGCAGCATAAATTTATTTTGAGTAAAGAATATTTTATTATTTACTTTATTAATTTATGAGCAAATTAAACTTCGAACAAAATTCTGCATACAACTTAACAGAATCCAAACCTTCTAAGCACATTGACAAAAATACCAAACTTAGATGGCTGTTTATTTTTAACACCTTTCAGAAACAACTCAATTCATTACTTAATGTAGCCAGGCCAAGGGTATGACTTACATTTACACAAATGTAAAAATAGCAACAGTTTTAGGTGATAACTCATCAATACATAATTTTTATTCTACACACCTCCGTTGCATCCAGTTCTCCACGAACACTTTAGACTGGCTCCACAAATTCCCGCAATTCTTCATCTCCTCTTTTACTACTTTCTCCATGTTATCCTCAGACTTCCAACCTGTCGCTTGCCATTTGGGTTCCACTGGATAGCCTGACCTGTGATATCATTTGGAGGTCTCCTCAAAAGTACATATATACCAGAGTATTTAGTTAAATAGAGATAGGTCACTATTATTAATATTATTATCTACTAGTTGAGACCAGTGAGTTGTATAAACATTTCCATCCAGAGCTATTAAGCCTGAGATATCTGTCGGTAGAAAAGCAGACAACAGGTAAGTTAAAAAGTAGAATATACCGGCTGGCAACAAATATTCACAGCACACACTTAAGACTTTTTTAAGCTTTGATTTGAACATCTAGTTGCTCTACCGAGGAAAAGTAAAGTTTAGGGAGTAATAAATACAGTCGTGATGATATTTATTTCACTGTTTATCAGTCTGAACCACACAATATTCAGTCGGCATTCGGATATAAATAAGAGCAGTGATTTTTTTGAAACTGGATGGTTAAATGACTATCTGTCCATTTACGGTTATCTAAGGGAAGTACACAACATTAGGTTATCCGTCTGTTATTATAAAGGGACACCCACTGTTTTTGTCATTCATTTAGGTTCCGAGTAGAACTTTGAACTTCGAGATTCCAATTTCAGTTGCGATGATGTTGTTTTCTTTCATGCGTCATCATGCTGCTAACCTCGTGTCCTACCTTACCTCTTTTCCAGGATTACCGCCAGCTAGTAGACTAGGCGAGTTTTAGCAGTGTTTTATACATTTATTCCCCTTAATGAATTTGAACAAAGTAGGAACTACAGTTTTAGCAGAATAAAGTGGTACCATCTTTTATTTCGTTGCCTTCTCGTTAGCTGCTTACAGGGCAAAGACATTATTAAATATATCTGCAAAAAACAATTTTAACATACTTGAACAGAGCTCATTTTAAACAAAAATCAATCGATCAATATATGCATACAGTAATTATATATACATAATATTAAACACTATTCCGAACAATAATGATCATACATAATGGAAGCTTTCAGCATTATGTATTCAGATGAAAGAGAGATGAAAATATCCAGTTACCAGGACAAAGAAAGACTGATAACTGTTTCTTTCTGAACGCACAAATCAGGTTTCAGGCGCTTGATGGAAATGGCTTCAGCAAACTTGAGGAGAATTGAGCTCTTTTGCCTATTCACAATTTTGAACGATTTTCCGACGTCCACCTCATGAACCGTGTTGAGGAGACGCCTAGTGATGGCACTGTTTAAAGCACTTGTTCCATTTAGACATAGGTTTTTTGGTACATGTTCAGAAAATCGTAGATATGCCCTTCTTTCTGTCCTTCCAATGTAACTGCTCCCGCAGATACATGTAAATTTGTATATACAGTTGGAGTTACATGAGAAGGATATCTACCGATCTTTGATTGCACCAAAGAGAAAGTTGTTCGATAGACGTGGACGAGCTTAGCCGCAGGATAGGCTATGGCTAGTGATGTACTCAGCCTTCTGTTGATCATCGCTGCAATGTTTTCACCTTTATAATCAAGCTGAATGTAGATTGGCTTTTTACCCACTGTGATTTGTTTTACATTTGTGACTTCAGATCTTCCATACTAGTTGATGAACCTTTGAGGGGTTTACCCATTGCTCTTCAATTTCTTTTCAAGAAACTCAAATTCTTTCTCTATAGAGCATATTCCCCTCGCTCTATAGTACAGAGTGTTGACTAGTCCGCGTCAGTCAGTCGACAGTCTAACCCGAATATCCCACTTGAACTACCGAGGCACTCTTTATCATATGTATATGTACAGTTTTTTTTCTACTGTTTTCCTTTTCAAAAATACTAATCCTCAAAATCCATTAACAGCAATTTCGATAATTAGCATTTTGTGTTTAGTTAACTCCGCTACTAAGTATTCATTTTTTTGTGTTAATTTTTGTTTAAACTATCTTTAGAGTGGCAGTATTGACTTTCAAACAAAACGCTGGACAGATTTTAAACGTGCCGCCAGAGGGATAGACTATGCACTGCCATATAATTCTGAATATACACGTCGTCAGTTATACGAACACAGGCCGAGTTTCAATGATCTTTTAATTTAAGATGTGAAAACAAAACTACCTAATTTGATGTTCACTTTTTATCATGAACTGATGACGACGAAAGCCAGTGTACTTTTAACAAACTAACGAGTAAATAAATAATATAAATTCAAAGATAAACTTTTGTATTCTGTTTTAAATTTTACTCAATGAGGTAATATAGTCTGGGCTTTTATGCCATTTGTACACGATTCTGTTGTGCATTTTCATGATATTACTAAGGCTGATCTCTTTACTACTAGTTGTATACTTTTTAACTTTTTTTATAAGGTGTGAGGATGAATGCGAAGAATTTTCGGCATTCAACTGGTCTCATAGAATATAAATAAGCTAGACAAAAGTACTTGGAAGTCAGGGTGTCTCAGCTGGAGAAATAAGGAGTTGAACTTTCAGTGAATATAATTCAGTCGCTTTGCTTACAAGTAAAATCCAGATTACGATACTATATGGACAGAAAAGAACAAAGAGCAAAAACTATAAAACTCGTACTGTGAGGTGTTTTTCGGCTAAATGTTGAAAAAAAAACGCTGCGACGAAGGTAATAACAGAGCTATATTCGAACGATCCAGTCACTAATGAAGAATACGATTGTATACAATTCAAAGATCAAAGCGGTTAGAATGGACAATGTCTAAGATAGAGAGGAGCATAAGAAACACATATATCAGTTAGAGTTACTATAGACAAAATAGAAAGTTAATATGTTAAATGAGATATTGTTCAACCGAAATGAATAATTATGGTTAGAGTGGAAGCACTCTATAACCCAAACATATGCCTGAACTACTTTATAGTAATGAGTAGAATGGGACTGAATATAAAGAGTACAGTAGTAACAGACCGCATTTAGACATTTAGAAGATAAAGGAATTGAGCGAAGAGCTATGTACTTTTCAATTAGATCCTCGTCAATGGCTCTACTCTAATATGTATATATATATATATAATTTAACAGTTCAGTGAGCATAATTTAGTTGACAATAATTATGAAGAGTTTGCAGGGATTTGTATATGTGTAAAACTTGGGCACTGTGGTAGTATGCAATCCCATGTTAGTTTGTTTATTAGATATATCACACAGTGAGTGAAACAGTATTATTTTTTACTGGATGACAAGGTTTCGAACACAATTTATTACTGTTCATAATCATATAATCAATTTTAATCACACAACTTCGAAACCTTCATTTTATAGCGAAATCTAGACTTGTTTTCAATTATAGGTTTTGCAGGGATTTTGTTTAATTCGTTGGAGGATTTCATCATTAGCTGACATTAGTTAGAGAGCACTGGAAAACCTGGGAGTACTAGGCAGTTGTTTCATCCTGGTTTGGGACTTTTCATCAGTATACACCCACAGGGGGTTCGAACCCAGGACCTTCCAGTTACAAGGCGAGCTCAAGACTAGTTGACCCTAATAAGATAAGAAATCTGGAGAGTAATTTAGCAGCTATAGCACTCACTACATGTGATTGCACACAACCACACAACAGGATGGGATAGGATGATAGTCTTGAAATCTAATGTAACAGCTGGGTGGAGGGAGAGATTGATAACAGAAGCTTCATTTATCGAATCAACTGCAAATGCGTGTAATAGAAATGATTCAACACCTGTCCCAGATATCTTGAAAATTCTACTACCACCCTTACGACAAATGAGGAAGAATAAAGAAAACTATAAATTGAAAGTTTCGAAGTTGTGTAATCATAATCGATATGATTATGAACAATAATAAATTGTGTTCGAAACTTCGTCATCCAGTAAATACTACTGTTTCACTGTGTGATATATCTAAAAGACAAAATTAATATGGAATTGTAGGGATTTGATTTTGTTTCAGGTTTGATCTAGGACTGGTACCACTAAGAGAACCATGAAGTACTGGACAGATGTTTCTTCCCAGTTTGGGGCTCATCATCAGTATGCACCCAATTAGTTATTTATCAAAATGAGAAGGGGAGTAATAATTAACCAAGTAGATTAATGCAACAATTAAAGACTGGAAATAATTGCAAACATGAAATAAATGGATTGCACAATACATAATTTTGGAAAGGACATAAAAGGAATAATTAACGAACAAGTGAATGTCCAGACTGATTGTGTGACGTAATCAGAATAACAAATAGTTAGAAAAATGATAACTTGTAAACTGCTTAGGAAGGAGGGGAAAATTGTCAGTTTCTTACATTTACATAAAATGATGGTCAAGGCAAGGAAAATTAATACACGAATCTCTCTCCATTGAATAGAGAAGTCTGGCTTCAGGTGAATTCCGATAGCCTTAGCTGTATGTACACGTCGAACTAGTAAAGCAAAATTTAATATTAGTTCGATAAAGAAAGGAAGACGAAATTTGCAGTACAAAATGATATCATTCTATTTCACAGGTTCTCATCAGCTGCAGACTACCTGAAATTACAATGGTTATATAAATGATAATAACATACTTTAATGTTTGAGTAGTAGTAGAGAAGAGATAAAATTGACGCATCCAAAAAAGAATGAAAGCATTACAATTTTTAGTTTAAGTTTGCATCATCAATTTATACGCTTTTAAAGTTGAAAAGAGGGGGTAGGGGTAAGACAGAAAACAGAAAAAATTGATTAACAGAAACAGTGTTAGCTTGTAGGTTGACATAGCAACTCCGAAAAACAAAGGCGGTTACAGTTTATGAGATTAAGATTTGTTCAGTGAGTTGAGATCACTGAATTAGATGACTAATTATTGTAATCAAAATCAAAAAAGTGTTGATTTGTCTCCCATTCAAAGGAGATGCAGTGTCACAAAAGATAGACAGAAGACTGAAAGGAGCAATAAATAGAAGCCTCCCGGCAGCAAAACTCATAACAGCATACAACACCACTCCTTCTATAATCCACTTAAAACAAGATAAATACCCTGCTAATGTCACCTCCAGCTGCGTTTATGAATTTACGTGCACTTGCGGGAGCAAGTACATTGGAAGGACGGAAAAAAGGGCTTTTATCCGGTTTTCTGAATACATTCCAAGAAACCTATGCCTAAAAGGCAGCAAATATTCCCAGAGTGCAATTACCAGACATATTGTTGATACCGGACATCTCGTAGATATTTCCAAGTCCTTCAAAATATTAAATAGACGAAGGACAGCAAATTTACTACGATTTGCCGAAGCGATCGCAATCAAACGATTCAAAACCAACCACACTTATGCATACACAAAGAGAGTGTGGTTAATCTCTCACTCCCTTGGTAACTGAATTTTGATTTTCATTACATTGATTAGTCATCTAATTCAGTGATCTCAACTAACTGAACAAATCTTAATATCATAAACTGTAACCGCCTTTGTTTTTGGAGTTGCTATGTGAACCTACAAGCTAACACTGTTTCTGTTAATCAATTTTTTCTGTTTTCTGTCTTACCCCTACCCCCTCTTTTCAACTTTGAAGGTGCATAAATTGATGATGATAAGTTAAACTAAAAGTTGTAATGCTTTCATTCTTTTTTTTGGATGCGTCAATTTTATCTCTTCTCTACTACTACTCAAACATTAAAGTATGTTATTATCATTTATATAATCATTGTAATTTCAGGTAGTCTGCAGCTGATGAGAACCTGTGAAATAGAATGATATCATTTTGTACTGCAAATTTCGTCTTCTTTTCTTTATCGAAATTTATCAAGGGAGCCAATTGTAATAATATTAGTTGCCATATGAGAATATCTTTAACGAATACAAAACACCTAGTTCAGCGAATAGGCTCTTTTCGGAGAATTTACTTTCCTTAACTCTACAATCACATTATTTGTATAATTTTTCACAAGACAGGGTAGTAATGAAAGTTATGAGTTGTCACACACAGAGTTGTTAATGTTAGCCAATGCATAAATGAAGTCGAATAAGTGTATCATAGTTACGTGATAAGATGAATAATTCAGTGAGTGAGTAATGATCAGGTGGTACATAGAAACGAAGGAAAATATGGAATTATGGAAGAGTTCTAGAGAAATACAAGAGTTATAAGGGGTTAAAAAAGCAGGCGAACAAAGAAAAATCAAGTTAGGATGAATCAACACGACTGTCACCATGGTCGTAGAAGTGGTTGAATAATTTTCTAATTGTGTGCATTGCAGAAGCCTTAGCCACTCAGTTAGAAAAACCAGAGCAATGAACACAAAAGAAAATATTTCAACCACTTCTGCTATTCTGATAACAATCTTGTTGATTTCTCCTAACTTGATTTTTGTTTGTTCGCCTTCTTTTTTAACCCCTTATAACTCTTGTATTTTCCCAGAACTCTTCCATAATTCCATATCTTCCTTCATTTCTGTATACCACCTGATCATTACTCACTGAATTATTCATCTGATTACGTAACTATGATACACTTATTCGACTTCTTTTATGCATTGACTAACATTAACTTTTATTACTACCCTGTCTTAAGAAAAATTATATATATAAATACGATTGTACAGTTAAAGAAAATAAATTCTCCGAGAAGAGCCTCTTCACTGAATTACATGTTTTGTTTTAATTAATGTCTAAATGGGTATTATTAATGAGTAAATAACTTTAAATGCTTTATTAATATCACTGTCTACAAGGTGTACTAAAACAGAGCTACGAATAAATCTTATTTGTCTCTTCTATAACCATACAAGACTACCTTCGGAAATCCGATGATGAACCTGCCTAATTCTATGTCCAATATAACGAGATTCACAGGAGCAGTAAAACTGATAGATGCATATATACGTAGATTAAATTAGGTAGTTTATCCTCATTTCTCGAGTATAAAATTGGGGTGGTTGTGAAGAGACAGCATACCTCTGCTGCAATGAATGCACTTTTTACTGCATTTCTTAGGCACTGCGTTACTGTTTCACTGGTTTTATCACCAAGAATTTGGACTAAGTCTGCTTTGAAGATGTTGCCATACTAGCTTGTCTTGGGGATAAATTCATGTGTTTGTCAGTGAAATTTTTACCGAGTAGTCCCTTGATAATCTTAAGCTGCCCATTAAGACAGCCGTTTAAGCAGATTATCCCCGTCCTATGATTCGAATGCTTTACTAAATTGCGTTTACATTCTAAAGGTGCAAGACTCAAAATATGAGAATACCAAC